AAGCTGTTCTGCAGCAATCTGCGAGTCGCACTGCAGCCCGCTTTTGCACAGCGACGAAAGCGCAGCCGAGTTGACAAAGGCCACAAATCCCAGGGCCAGGCTTGCGATGAGGGACCCGCACATGCAGCAGTAAAGTATGCAGTACAGCCAGTTCTTGTCAAAGACTATCGAGATGATAACGCCCAAAACAAGCAGAACCTGGAAAAAAATCAGAATTTGCGTTAACCACAGAGAGAACCGCATGTCTGCGAAAAACGGGTCTTTGCTTGCGCTGGAGCTTGCAGTGCCCGCCGGCCCGTACACGGCAGACATTCCCCCATTGCTTATGATCATGTCGTGGAGGGTGTCTGCTATTGAGGCGTCTACACTAGGCTGGGCGACTGCCCGAGAGGAGACAATCAAAGAAGTTCCCGGGTGGGCGTCCCTCTTTTTCACAATACTGAGGGTTTTTGTCTGCCTCTTTACCCAGAGGTTTTTCCGGGGCTCGCTCACAGGCAGGGCGGCACTCCCTATGCTTACACACACGGAGTTAGACCCGACCTTCAGCCTGCTGTACTTCGCGGAAACCCCCGCAAACATGCGGTCGTACTTACTCACGAGCGCAATTATGGCTGACTCCATCGCGCCAAAGTCAACTCCCACCGTGCTTAGCTCGCCCCTTGCGTAGTAGGACTCCCTGTTCAAGTCTTTGAACGCCTTCATGAGGTCAAACGAGTACTGCCGGTACTGGAGCCTGCTCTGTTCAAGGTTTCTCTCAATTTCCTGGTACTCTTTCATCACGCCGTCTATGTAGATCAGGTCTGCCTTCGCCTCGTCAAACTCTGTATTCTCCAGGAAAATGCAGTCTTGGCAGTCCTTGTTTTTCAGCCTTTGGCTGGTCTTGAATATGCAGTACTCGGTTTTCTGCGAGGCATATGCAGGCACTTGTGCAACAGGGCCTACCGAGGCGCCGGAAGCAGGGGCGCCCATCATGAGGTTGCTGCGAAGAAGCCTCCTGTACGTGGCAGAGGCTCTTTCCCCAAACTTGAGCTCGTCCTGTTTCTGCTCGAGTTTTCCGTCCAGGCCATTCGAGCATATTTTTTGCCGGTTCTGCGGGGTGTTCGTAAGAAAGGACGAAAACGGGATTGAAATGCTTACGTCCGTGTACGTGGCGTCGAGGGATATCTCGGTTTTAAGCATGTTCTGGACTGTTTCCAGAAGAAATATCGAAACCACCATAAAGATAAAAGCGCACAGAGTGTCCTTCTGTGTAAAACTGCGCTTTCTGAGAATAATAAACCCAAGCGAGCACACAATAACAACTGTAGTGACAAAAAAAGAAAACATCATTCTTTTAGAGGAGAGAACTGTCATCCAAAGGGCGTCCCACTGGCTGAAATCCCATACGCTGACTTGCTCAAACAAAGAGTATTTCAGCAGCGCATTTCTAACCGTGCTTCCTAAAGACTCATACGCCATTTGTGCGCGCAAGACACGGCTTATATCCTGTTTCATGCGCAACTGTTTCACACTTGGCCCTGCACGCCCCCAGCGCAAGCCCCCTTTGAGCAGAGCACAATTGGCCACTTTCGCAGAACGTGTTTCAGCACAGACTCCCACGCAGCAGCCTTCCAAAGAGGACAGACGTTATCCGGCCCGAGAGATGCTTCGCACTCCGCCCACGTCTAGCAGGACCTGCCCGTACGCATGCAGCACCAGGCTCTTTGCATCCTGTTTGGCGCCTCTTCAGAAAACAGCGCTTTCCCGGAAGCCCCAAGAAAAACTGCAGAAGCTTAGGCTGTGCCAGGCGCGTTTACTGCACACAGCACGCACAGATGCGCTTTCTCTGCGCCTTTGGGCTGTGCATGCAGATGCTTTCTGGGCGGAATTTCAAAACCCCCAAAATGTGCGGTTTCAGAATCTGCAAAATCTCCTGCAGATGCACCACCAGAAATGAACCCCCCAGAAAAGGCGCACTTTCTGAACTTGTGCGCATTGACCACTCGCACGCGTATTTCTGCATTTTTATTTTTGTGTTTTTATTGGAATGCATGAAGAATACGCTCTATTCAAAATCCTGGTTGTAGGAAGCAGCGGGGTCGGCAAGACTTGTCTTCTTCTCCGGTACACAGACAGCATCTACAAAGAGACATACGGAACTACGATAGGGGTGGACTTCAAAATGAAAAACATCACAATAGAAGACAAAACCGTAAAGCTGCAGCTCTGGGACACAGCAGGCCAGGAAAGATTCAGAACCATCACCTCAAGCTACTACAGGAACGCGAACGGGATTCTTCTGGTTTTTGACATCACGGACTCGGAAAGCTTCAACGACCTAAAAGGCTGGGTGAACGAGATCCGAAACAACATAACAAGCAAGATCGTGGTGTACATTCTGGCCAACAAAATAGACACCGAAACCCCCGCAGTCTCGGACGAGGAGATCAGCGCGTTCATAGAGAAGTACAGAACCGACACTCTGAAAATAATCGGGCACAGCAAGGTCTCTGCCAAGACTGGGGAAGGCGTAAACGAGGCCTTCCTGCAGACAGCCAAAGCCATAATGCAAGAGTCCCCGCCCAGCAAAAAAAGAGAAAGAGTAAATATAGAAAGCGACGAAAACGTAAGGGGCTGGTGCTGCATCGGATGAAGCCTGCAGAAACCCCGCGCATAGAGCCACAAATAATAAACAGTCTGTTGAGATCTCTCTCCTGCAAGAAAAGAAGAAGCCCTTTTTGAAGCCTGCAAGCCCGAGCGAAAACTCATTCTGCGAAAACATTGTTTTTTTCTGTGGCGCGCCCGCGGAAGTCCAGGGATTTTCAATTTTCGGGCAAGGCAGAAACAAAATGTGAAAAATATGCGTGGGCAAAAATAAACATTGAATGTGGTGCTTTTTACTGATGAATTATCTGTATCTGCCTCGGATCTTCATGGCCAGTTGAATGTCTCGGGGCATTACTGTAACTCTGCGGCCGTGTATCGCACAGTCATTCGCATCCTCGAAGAGGCCAATAATGAAGGCCTCGGTGGCCTCCTGGAGAGACGCCAAAGCACTTCCTTGGAATCGCGAGTCGGACTTGAACTCCTGGCATATTCCCCTCACCATTCTCTGGAATGGCTGCTTTCTTATGAGGAGCTCTGTGGATTTTTGGTATCTTCTGATTTCCTTAAGGGCTACGGTTCCTGCTCTGTATCTGTGAGGGCGCTTGATGCTTCCACCTACTGCGGACGATGTACTCTTCTTTGCTGCTTTGGTTGCCAGCTGTTTTCTTGGTGCTTTTCCTCCGGTTGACTTTCTTGCTGTCTGCTTTGTTCTTGCCATTTTACAGGGGTGTGTTTTAGAAGAATCATAAATAAAAAATAAACACAATAAGGAGTCTGGACCCGCGAAAGAACCAATAGAAAATTAAGAGACTTATTTCGTAAATATTTTAATTTTAATTTTTATCTTTATTGGTTTCGATTAGGTGGAAATTTATTTAAAAAGGCCATGCTGTGCTTACACGGAGTGCTTCGAGGGAAAGGCGGGGCGGAGTGCAGGAAGGAAGTATGTTTTTAGGCGGGGTTTTTTGGAGGTTTAGGAGAAGTTTCACATGGTGCGGCCGCGTCTTTATTGGTGATGGCATGAAACTTCTGGGAGTGACGGAGTGTGTTTGGCACGCGGGAGAGGCCTTTAGATGGGTCTTTATGCGGGCTTGCAGAGGATGCTGGGAAAAGAGCACTTTGGAAGGGCCTTTGCACTCTGGGAGGGTGAAGTGCTTTTGCACGCTTGGAAGAGGCAAGGCTGTGCGTGCTTGAGACTTTTCTGCACGTGTTTGGACAGAGAATCGCCGAACTCGCTTGCTTGGGTGATCTTCGAATGTTTGCTCTTCGCCCGAATGTTTGGCAATTTGCGTCTTTATTGCGGGCGGGTATTGCTCTATTTGCTTTCTTGGAGCGGCCTAAGCGCAGGATGCCGGCCTTCCGAAATCGAGCATGTGTGTCTGCGTGCAGGGCAGAGGCTGCATGTCGCGCCGTTCTGCGTTTTGTTGCATTCCCTCGATTCGCCTGCTGTAGAGGTGGAGGGCGAGCGCCAACTTTGAAAACAAAAAATCAGAAAAATATTGGAAGATGCGCAGCTGCTGCTAATGTCTTCAGAGGGCAAAAGTCAGAAAATGCAATTTTCCTTAAAACCAAACACTTTTTATTAGGCGGGGGCAGGGACCCTGCACGCTTGCTCTGAGTGCGTGCAGTTAGCTTTTGAGGGCTTTCACGCAGTTGGGGGCCTTGCTCCTTCTTGCTTGCATTTGTTTTTTTGCGGGAGGATGTATTCTATGATGTGCTTGGAGTAGTATAGGCGGGTCTCGGCCTCCGTGCACAGGATCACGTTCAGATGCTCGTCGATGCTTAGCAGCTCTCCTGTGACTTTCTCGGTGGCTCCTTTTTGTGCCACAACCAGGCACACTTCTTTGTGCATGCTTTCAAGAAGAAACTTGTACACACCCATAAAAATGTGCGGGTGGGCTTTCTATTTATCCAGCGGGTGCTTCTCGAGCAGATTCATCTCCCTCAGAAAGCTCAGAAAAACGTTGCTCTCTCCCTCCTCCACGAAGATTTCAGGCTTCCCGTCGACTTTCAGGAGGTACTTCTTGTACATTCTGTCGTATACGATCAGCTCGCACGTGTCTGTGCTGAGGGCGTGGTTCAGATCGCGTATTGAGGTGTTCTTTCGCTGTGTATTTATTGAGAATATTTTCATTTTCTTTTTATGGCTGAAATTGTTGTATTAATAGAAGGCATAAAGGACGAAATTGCCAAGCACCTTTTTCGGGCGCTGCGCTTTACGTTCCATCGCAAGAGTATTCTTGCAGGCTGCTTAGAAATGAACGGCCTGGCAATTTCCTTATTAAACCCAAACTATAACGGAGTCTCTCCAAACGAGCTCAAGTGCAGAGAGTACTTCATAAGAATAGCCAAGAGCAAAAACGTGCTCCTCATAAACGACATTGAGTACCGGAGAGAAGACTACTACACCGCAGAGTACAACACAGACACAAAGTACATACTGATTATAAAGGACACAAGCAGAGCAGGGCCTGCACACCTGCCAAGATCCCTGAGCAACGAAGCCCTCCAGAGCATGGACAGCACGCACATATACAACGGGAACAGCCCAATGGAGGGCTCGGAGTACTACACAATGTACACGCACTGCAGAAACTACAAGGAAAAGCTGGTCGTTCTCCTGTGCAACATAAAGAAGAGCCTCCTGAGCTGCCACAAGCTTCGGGTTGTGCACAAGCTGTACCTCCTCACCCGGTATAGCAACCTGTGCGTGCTGAACACCGGGTACAACGTATTCTACAAAAGCAGCTGCGATGTTCTAGAGAAAGTCAGCGCACTCCTGCACAGCATGAAGAACAAGTACACGCTGTTTATATACACAGGCGGACAGGCCGAGAGCATAGTAAAGAAGCACAGCATAACAGACGTGATCGTGATAAGCGCGAAGGGAAAGGACCCGGGAAGCCCGATACAAAGCAAGCCCGGGCTGAACATCGTAAAGATAGAGATTCCCGTGCGCATTGAGAACATCTTGGCAGAGATTGAGAAAACAGCCAAATCCCTGCTGATTTGCGATGTTTCCGTGGCGAAAACCCTCATACGGCACATCAAGCGGGAGGAGACAGAGACAAAGCTGGGCAGAAATGTTTTGGTGAAACTGATGGTTAAAGGCTTTGAGGTGACAGAAAAGAAGTATGATGTAAAGTAGAAGAGGGAGTAAATATTTTATTTTTATGTACGAATTTCAGTACTCGTGTATATATAACAGCAGACACGACTTGCAGAGCAAAAGAGTGATAGACCACGGAAAAAGCCTGGGGTACGTGCACTCCGAGCACATCACAGAAGGGCGCATATTTCTTGTGGGGACTCTAGAAATAAGCTACAAGAGAGAGCCGATACTGTCGAAGTACAGCGAGGCCAGCAGAGAAATAGAGAAAAGTCCGACGGATCACCTGTTCAGTGCAGCCGTGGACCCTAGAGAGCTCTATGTAGACGAAAACGTGCAGAATGAAGCCTGCCCGCTCGGATGCATTTTGCCGGAGACCGAATACTTCCTGGAAAGCCCGAACTTGGAGAGGGTGAAGCTGCTCCTGGGCGACGATGCAAGCACCCACTTGGTCGACGGAGTTGTGATTGGCGTGTGGGGGGAGAGAACAGCCGACCACCAATTCCTGGTCAGCGCGATCATCCATGCTCTGGACGCGGCAGAGCCCGCGGGGAAGGAGTCCACAGTGTCCGCACGCCCTTGGAAAGAGGCTGGAAAAATGTCAGACCAAGACATTTTCAGGGACCAGGTTTTTCTGGTAACCCGAACAAAAGAGGCGAAAATGGCGCCGAAAGAAACCACGGTCATGCACCTGGGCATGCTGGATGAAGACCTGGAAGAGCCGCACGGCAGAGTCCTGGTTGTGCCAACTGCTCCGGAAAGCGCTTTGTTTATGATTCCTTGGAAGGCGTGCGAAACCACAGACGGTTTGCGAACAAAACACAAGAATCTGGAGGCAGTTGCAAACCCGTCTGTTCTTAGCGTCAATGGAATTGCAGTGGGGATTGTGAACATAAAGAGCATACTCTGCCTGCTGAAGCACCACAGCGCCATGTGCACGGAGGCCAACTATTTCAAGGCCTTGGAAATACTCGTGAAGAACATGCATCTGTCCCCGCTGTCGCCTCTCTCTTGCCCAACCCTGCCGATGAAAGAAGACGTGCTTGTCATGGGCAGAGTGCCTGACGTTTTGGTGCTTAAGTGCGGCGTAGACAGCACGAAGCGCATACAAATCAGCGGGTGGACAGTGCTCTTGGTGCTGGTGAAGAGCCAGGCGCTCGTCCTGTCTAGGTAAGCCCTTTCCGGGCAGTATCTGGAACCTCCGAGATCACGCTTTCCTGATGCTTTCCTAAACTATTTCCCGCATCAGGCAGTCAGTGCTCATCTTGCGATGGGGTCTAAGGAAATAAAAATATGCTGGAAGTGCGCCCATGTTTTGGCCCGGAGCTGGTGGGCTCTAAATGGCCGCAATTGCCCTCTTCTCTCCGTGCTTTCATTAGAATGTGGGTAATTCCCTGGAATATGCAAGATGTGCACACCGAGAGTTTTTGCAAAATTTCCAAATTTGATCTGCATTTATCAATGTTTGCCTGCCGCAACATTGTTTTCTTCATTAAGCAAATATTTGCAACAAACAATGGCCGATGATTTTGATTTTTGCAAACATTTAATAGAGAAAACCCGGCCCAAAGCCAAATGGAATATACAAACGTGCTTGTGCTTCTTATGTTTGCATATGCCGTGTGCTCAACACACAGCATGCATACGTTCCAGAACGAGTCTGAGCGCTACTCCTTTATGGATCACGGGCAGGACGTATACTTTGCGCAACACGCAGGCATGAATAACTTGGGCTTTGCTGCTGATGCATACACTGCAGAGCCTAGCACTGCCCGCATGAACTATATGGACCAACCAATCCCAGAAGAATTTACACAAACATACTCCGACATTCTGCAGCCCATGGAGAGTTTTCGCATAGACCAGCAGAAAAATCCGACTTGGGAAGCCCACAAGCGCATGGCAGCGACCAGATACTCCTCTGCATCTTCTCAGATGTCTGCATCGAGCAATAACACGTACGACAACAGCTATGACACCTTCACAAGCGACTCCGACTCTAACCAAATGCCAGACGCTGAAAGGCCCAGGCTTGTGCAAAAGCGTAATTTCTCTCCACGTGCTGGCAAAGCCCCCATGGAAGAAAGATCCTCCAGTGCACGAATGTCCGATGAAACCACCAGCCCAAGGAGCACGCACATCTCAAGCAAGAACGCAAGTTTTTCCAGCGTGGAGGCTGCCTTGGAGGAGTTTAGCTCTTTTGTAGAGGATTTCACTTCTAACCCACCCTCAAGATCCTCTATGATGAGTCACAGCTACAGCGAGACGCAGGAAGAAAATTCTGGTTCTCGTGCGGAAAGAAGCGCATTGATGGATGCGCCTGCCCACGGTATAAACTTGCTCAAGGCTGAGGAGCCACGCCTCTTTGAAGAAATGCACTACACATTTCACAAAATAATGGCAGCCCCCGCCCCTGGAAACACCTTTGGAGTGGGCAAAAAGGAAGAAATCATCCTCAATGAGAGCGAGGGAGTTTACAGGACTGCAAATGAGCCCTATTTAGAGCAGGGCCAGATAAACCGTGAAAATAGCATATACGGTTCTTTACCGGGACGCTTTGCAGAGGACGCTGCAGAAAAACATGTACAAAAAAAAATGCCGAACAACACTATTCCTCCTGCACGCCCTGTAGACGAAGAAAAAAGAGGAAATAGCACGAGGAGCCACAATCGCTTGCCCAACCGCCCTATTTCAGATCCTAGTCGCTCTGAAAAGAATTTTAACCCGACAGCACAGAAATCCCCGTTTAAAATGGACTTTTCTGAGATATTCAAGAATGATGCGCCTCCCACGAAGCATTTGGAGCCGTCTCCTGCGCTTCCCGCCCAGGCGAATCGTTTTCCACTCTCAGGCAACGCGCCAGCTGCCAGCAGAGCGCCTCAAGCACGCAACGGCCCAATCGATGGTGCTAGGCCGCAGGAGATCAACAACCAGCTGAGGAGGAAAACCCCCGAATCGTCGCCCTACTGTACCACAATGAACCCAATTTCCATATACCTAGATCAAACTAAGAGCATGCTGAAGGTCTCTGAGTTTTTAGAGGTTTACCCGGATGGATCTACGTATCCAAAGCACTCTAGGATGTTTTTGGTGACAAAAACCCTTTCGCGCACAGGAAACAACCTGTTCATGCCCGAGGCACAAAACCTGGCGATGATACTCAACGCCGAGCAGAAAATGGACAAGCCTGCAGTTTTCCTGCTTGACAGTCTAGAGTTCAGTGCACCGAGTGCTGACTCCGGCCCAATACCAACGCCAAAAATAAGGTCCAACCGTTGCATTAAGGTAGGCTTTACAGGCATGTGCAAAAGCCTGTCAAGCATGAAAGAAATAACGATGTTCCTCACAAAACTTGCAAGCCAGGTCAACATTTATATGGGCACGTGCAAATGCGGAATTTCAAAAACTTGCGGAAACAAGGCCTTTGCCATGGGCATGATTGAGATGGTGAAGAAGGACTGGTCCGACCATATGAAACAAAGCCAGAGTTTGTCGATTATGTACCAAGACGTCCACATTGAGAGGATAGAGGACTTGGTGCGCGAAGATAGGGTCCGCCAGCAGCATTATATGCACTTGCAGTTTGATTCCCTCAGGGTTTCATTCTCCAACCTGCCAGGCGTCATTACCAAGCTAATATCGGGTTTGAAATCGCCCAACGTCTTCTATTCCAACTTTATGGTGCGGTCCTTGATCATTGAGCTTCCTAAAATAGCCTTGCCCTCCAAAAGCAGCGTGCAAAAGAAAGTGCAGCAAAATGCCATGGATTCGATCCGCGGTATGATTTCCAAGTATATGAAAAATGTGCTAATCGAAAAGCGGATAGAAGCCCCGTCCAAATTCGCAATAGGTGCCACGAGCAAACAGCCCAAAAACATCTCCAAAATGACTTACTTGATTCCGCCAGCAACTGCCGTTTCCAAAGTGTGCTTCTCCTTCAACACGGCAGACTATGTGCCCACCTCTACATACAAACAAATATTAGGGTTCTTGAAAGAGAATGTAAATGTGCTGAAAACTGAAATTTCCATAGAAGAAACAACATCGCTGCAGCAGCTTCATGGTTTTATCGCAACAATGAAGAAAAAGCTGGTATCGATAAATGACTACACAAATGTTTTCTTTTCGGCTAGCATATATGACCACACAAAGGGGGATATACCCGAGCCCAAAGGAAAAATGCTCTGCAACACAGAAGAACTTTGGCTGCTGCTCTCCGGGCTATGCGATAAAATCATTAACATTCCTAATCAGAAATCTAAATTTGTCGAAAACTCGTATGTTCTTGAGGTGTCCATCAACCTAAGGTTCCCACCCGCAAACCCAAATGCTCCCAGAGACATGTCCTACTACACCAAGAAGTACCCCCAGAGAATCTACAAAGACATAGCGCATAGTCTGTGGGCAGCCTACAACATAACCCCAGAGATGCTGGGCACCGGGATTTGAAATAAACAGAATTAATGTATTACATGCACGCACCACGCGCGCTTTATATCTCTAGAGAGCTGCTTTTCTTTGGCAGGCCTGCTTTCAAAGGTCCTCGCACACTCTGCAGCTTCGCAGGTGCCCAACTAGCTTCTTCTGCAAATATCCCCATGTGTGCACTGATTTTTCCTTTGCCCACTCTCTTGCACGCTGTCAAACTGTCAAGCCTCCACATTTTATGTCACTTTCGTGCTGCTTTATGCCATGCGAAGACACTTGAAATCTGACGTGTTCGTGCTTTCTCTCAACCCGGCCTTGGGAACTCTCTGAGCAAGCTTTTTTCTTTGCGCTGCCAGGAAAGACAAGCAAGAGTACACTGCCTTAAGCAATGCATAGGCC